ACATTTTTTTTGTAATTTATTTTTATTTGAAAAGTCGTTTTATTATTTCTATAAAAAACATTATATCAAAAATTGGCACAAACTTTTAATTATATAAAGTAAAAAAGAAACTTTGCAAAGATGAAAAAAAATGTTATCAATCCAAAATTAATGTCAATTTGTAGTTGCCAAAAAAATTTTATTGAATTATTGTACTTGTGTCTATATAAAAATACAATATAAAAGAAAATCTGATGTGTAAGAAAAAAAACGACGTACAAAAACTTGACACGTCCGGGTCGCATTAAAATTACTTTTAATAATAACACTGAATTATGTGGCAGACAAATAGAAAACAGTTTAAATTAAAATTTAATATATTTTAAGATTTTTTATTTTTAAACTTATTTCTTTTTTATAATTTTTTAATATTAACTAAATAAAATTAATGAAATATATAATTAATTATTAATTAATAAAATATTTTTTACATAAATAATGTAAGAAACTTAAGAATTTACTTTGTTAGAATGTTATCCAGTATAAACGCGTTTTAATATTTATTAATAAATTTTTTTAATATTATATTTACATACAATGTTAAAGAAAAATATATAAATAAAAATTATATAAAAAATTTATTTACAAATAATTTGAAAAGTAATATATACATTATTAATGTAAAGATAAATAGTAAGAGTGCAATATAATACAATAAGTGTATGGTATGTATAAATGTGTGTGTACATGTTTTAATGCGGACGCGCCAAGTTTTTGTACGTCTTTTTTTTTCTTACACATCATTTTCTTTTATATTGTATTTATATTGTATATAAACACAAGTACAATAATTCAATAAAATTTTTTTGGCAACTACAAATTGACATTAATTTTTAAAATTCTGGAAAAAAGATTTTCTGCACAAAATCATTGCAAGCGATGAAAAGTGGATTCTTTATGATAACTCTAAACATAGAAAATCATGGGTTGACTCTGGTCAACCTTCGACATCGACGCCGAAGCCCAATATCCACGCCAAGAAAGTTTTACTCTGTATCTGGTGGGATTGGAAAGGTATATTGTATTACGAGTTGTTACAACCGGGTGAAACAATCACGGCAGACCGCTACCAACAACAATTGACCAATTTGAGCGATGCATTACAAGAAAAGAGGCCATTTATTGGCCAAGGACGTCGTAAAGTGATCTTGCTTCATGACAATGCTCGACTACATGTTGAGAAAGCAACTCAGGACCATATCTTTGCGTTAGGCTGGGAACTTTTCTCGCACGCGGCGTATAGCCGAGACCTGGCGCTTTCCGATTACTACCTATTCCGATCGCTGCAGCATCATTTGGCTGATACACATTTCGTGAGATTTGAAGAGATACGAAAATGTATTGATGACTTTATCGCTTCGAAGCCGGTGAACTTCTATCGTCAAGGAATTCGCAAGCTACCCGAAAGATGGCAAAAGGTCGTTGATGCAAACGGGGAATATTTGGCTGATTAATATTTTTTTGTTTGTTTTTGAATAAAGATTGAATTTTACAAAAAAAAGCTCAGAATTTTTTTGTATACCTAATATAATATACTTACTATTAAATGTGACACACGTTATATCTTCTTTTTTATTAATCAATACAACTTCAATACAACTTCACATGAAGGACATCTGTCAAAGATATATCAAATAAAAAAAATGAATGCTGCAAGAGCTTCATACAGAAATGTTCATTAGCGCCTCTTGCGACAGAAAAAGGAGAATCACGGTCAACGACGACCAGGACGTTTCTTAAATTTATCAATTTGAACTTTGCGTCACGATATCTCAATTTGTAGAACGGAGAAAAGAAAATAAAAATACTTTTCTGATAATTTGATACTCAGCTATCAATTAAGCGTAGTTAAAACTTAATCGAGACGGTCATTGCTATGAAAATGTAGACCGAATTCATCTCGTGTAAATAAAGCCACGGGCGTCTCGCCGCCGTTCTATGCGACTTCGCTGCGCATGAATTTGACGTCGAGACACCACTCGTATCTTTTGATTCATACGTATAAAAGCAGTTTTATGTTATAAAGTATGCGTTAGGGTTGACCTTAATTTTTAAACTAAAATCTAGTTTATAACGTATAAAATAAGAAAGTGCAATGTATGTACGATGCGTATATGTGTGTATATACGTATATATAGAAGCGATTTAATGTAATATGCAATATAGTGTTATTATAAGTCAATTTATGAAATATAAAGTGTGTAAATTTTATATATACGATGAGTATATGTGTGTGTGTGTGTGTGTGTGTGTGTGTGTGT